TGTTAGATTTATTACAAGACTTCAACTATTATTAGACGTTGATTGCATGATAACAAATGAAAGAAAGTGAATTACAATCGGAAAAGTATTTGATTAATTGAGTGATAAAAACGGTAAAAATGTTAAATGAAGAGACATATGTGCGTAAAGTGGTACAGGTGAAGCCGCACGTGGACGGTGATGGAGACGGTGGCGATGGCGACGACACGGTGGATGCTGACGGCGGTGGAAGCAGAGGATCCAGTGGTGGTTTGTCATTAGATCCGATGCTCTGCTTTGCCACGCGCAGGCAATCGCTCAAGCGCGACGACTCCGAACAATACGATATCGTACAAAAGGTAACTTGAGATCTGAGTTTCCCAAAATCAAATAGTAGCCGCAAATAATAATAAAAATACTTTTAGGAGAAATAAAAGAAATCGTAGCTTACGGGAAATAAACGAAAATCGAAATATAATTTGTTCAAATCAAGACTCCCTAAATCTTTATTTTTTTCGTTATTTTCTGAGAAGATTGACGCATGTGAAGCACGCATAAGCTGAAAAAAAGATTTCAGACGCAAATTGAATCAATCAGGATAAGGGAAAGTCTCGTCTGGCGAGACGTAGACAACATAATATTCATTTAACGTGTACAATTTGTTGCAGAGAATGTCAATTCGTTGTAGAACAAATCAAATTTTCTGATACACAATGTATATAAACTGCTAGTTAATTCTCTGAAAAATGATTCATAATACATGTTAATATGATTAGTTATTATTAGTTTGCGTTTAATTAAAAGTAAATATGCACAAAGTTAATCTACTGCATTTTGATAGCATTTGTCGAATGAAATTCAATATTTGAGCAAATAATTGATTTAAACTGCACTTAGTGCCTTGTGCACAGTGCGGCGTGCTGCGCTTCAGGTTTGCTTCTCGATTTAAATTGCAGCATCCGTGCTGTGAAATGCTCTCAAATCTGATCAGCTCAATTTATGCGATAGCAATGATGACGATCAAGTCGCGATGCACTTCGGCGCTAATTAACTAATAAAACCCTCCGGCGACTCTCAGCGCTGCCACTTGCAAGATGTAATCATAAGCATTCCGGGGCGGTTGGCAGCGTATATTTGGTTGCATCTTTCACTGCATATATGCTTCAGAATGCAATTTCACACTGTTTGCAGTGTTGCAGATATCTTGCACCAGAGTGCATCAAATTGAATATTGAATATTTATACACAACGTGTATTATATAATCGGACATATTAGTTGCTCACACAAAGTAAAAATTAAGTTATACAACGGAAAAATTATGTATGACGTAAATTTTAATTAAGCGAATTAATTAAAAAACAACGTTCCATTGATTATGATACCAGGGTAGAGTTGTTGCGCGTATTAATAGAGCTTTTATAAAATTACATGTGTACCGGGCACACGTGGCAAATGCCACGTTTTGTTTCCCTTCGCTGTTTAATTGGCGCCATCGGAACAATTAAACGTTTCTATAGAACTCTCAATGCCCAGGCAAAAAGTTTAAATCTCCAGTTTCCTGATTCATTTAACTTCTCGGAAGCTGCAGCCAATTAACTGTTTTCCTGTTTATTGTAGACAATTCAATATACATTTATGTTCGTATTTTTGTTTTGTTTTAAATTATGTTTAATTAAATACAAGGTAATGCTCTTGGGAGATTCCGGCGTTGGAAAGACCTGTCTGCTGGTGAGGTTTCGCGACGGACTCTTTCTCTACGGCAATTTCATTTCCACCGTAGGCATTGACTTCCGGGTAAGCGCATACGCTTGATGAATCAACAAGAAATGTAAAATAACCCCGATGTTGATTGTTTTGTCATTAAATGTCGCTAATTATAAAGCAACTGATGTTTCAATGTGCTGTACATAACCAATAAAACAAAAATGTCTTTTGTTTGTCGCTAGGTGGCGCTTGGCTCAATGATATGTTTGTTGTCAACTTGGTACGAAACTTTGCTTTGAAATCAATTCTAAAATTTATAATTAAGTTTTGCCAGACATCTTCACTTAGTTCACGCTATTTGTTGCTGTACTATGAACACACTGTATAACTGTGTATACCTGTAGTATATATTCGAACAAACAAATGATTGATGTATGCTGTTTGATATCGATATGTCGCGTGATGTATGCATCGTTTTGTGCTATATTCGTGGGTGTTGATAAAATTGAAAGACGCTCATTGATTTTCTCTCGTTTCAAATTTACATGTCCGTTTTCGCCACACCACGCAAACAATCAACAATTGCAATCAACTGAACATTGTTCCGGAATGTCGATGTCGATCGACCTCCTGGGATGGTGGTGGTGTAATGCACCTATTGTAGAACAAGGTGGTCAATGTGGATCAAACGCGTGTAAAACTACAGATCTGGGACACTGCCGGACAGGAGCGATTTCGCAGTGTCACACATGCGTACTATCGAGATGCACACGGTAACTAACTCTATCTATTTTAATATAAATACTATTTTTACCACAACCTTGATTGTAAAATTAATTGTTTTTTCTGATTAAAGCTTTATTGTTATTGTACGATGTGACGAACAAAACTAGTTACGACAACATTCGAGCGTGGTTAGGTGAAATCCGGGAATATGCTCAGGACGACGTTGTTATAATGCTCATTGGTAAGTATTTCTTTTAATTCCGGAATAATGTATTCTACATTATTATCCATGCAGGTATTATTATACTTACCGGCATTCAATGGACTTTATTATTGATTTTCAAAGTCGTCGGCTATATAAAGCGATATTTTTAATAAATTTAATGAAATTTATCTCTGATATTCGAATTCCGCAAGGCTTACGGGAAAATCAATTGCTATTTATTATTTATTATTGTTCTCAGGTAACAAAGCCGACGCCGGGGTGGATCGCGCCGTTCGTCGGGAGGAGGGAGAGCGCTTGGCGCGCGAATATAATGTTGCTTTCATGGAGACATCGGCGAAAAGTGGACAGAATGTTGAATTGGCATTTTTAGCAATTGCAAGGTATTGAATTTTATTCTTATTAATTTATTAAGTTGAAATTAATATTTTTTTAATACTTGTTTTTCTAGAGAATTAAAATTTCGACAAACAGGAGAACACGATGAAAATCGTTTCAGTGTACAAGATTATGTGCGTGCGCAAACAGCTAGCAACAAACCCGCACAACAATGTCCTCCTGCAACACCAATTGAACAATAAATATTAGGTAATTCCACTGACCGTTTCAAGAAAATGAATATTGCTGAATTTAAAACAAGGCTTCCTAAAATTTGTTACAAACAAATCAAATACACATTTAAATTTATAAAAACAATATGCTTTTAGTGTTCATATGTTAATAAACATTACGTAGGGTGATATCATCAAAATTAATATTCATCATGCTAGAATCACCCTGTATATATTAATATGAAATAGATACACTGAAAACAACAATATGTAACGTTGATAATAATCAATAACTGATAAAAATTTATATTGAATTTACAAATGTTCAGTATTAATACTAAAACCAAAACACACGAGCTACAAAAACGACTTTGGCATAGAATAGGAAATGCTAACTCAATGAAATTTAGAGAGATTTTTGTAGGCAGAGGGCACAGACTATTTATAATTAAAATTGAATATATACAAGCCTAATGCATATCACCAAGGAATGACATTTGAAAGGATATCAATCAATTAAATCAAAACTGATATAAAATTACAGCTAAAAATAAGAGGCCATAGACCAAATATAAAATAATGCTAATAAATTTTAAAATTAGGGCCTATTATTCCAAATTTAGTTTTTTGACTAGTCAACGTTTTAAAAATTTTAAACATTTTTTATCATTAGAATTGGTTATTAGTATGGAAGAAGTGTCAAATAGTAATGGTAATGGTATCATCTAAGTAAAGGATATATAGAGTGTTGCACTTGAATAATTAATGAAAATACAATATTGTTGTTAAATATGCAAAGTTTAAATTTTTAAAGTGCAAATATTCTTTGATAATAATAATTTTTGAAAATCAGTTACATCAAATTGTTGTATGACTTTGTTTGTCTAAATGTCTAAGTGTTGTGCAATAGCTACAAGCACTAATGTATGTATAAAATACAAGTTATGTATGTCAAACTGTTAAGATTACTCCTTAACTCTATTTTAATTGTGTGTTATTATTACTTACCAAGGATGCTAAATATGTGTTAAATAATTTGTAATTTATTATGATAATATTTCTACAAGCATACCAAGTACTTACTAAGTTTGTGTTATTGTTTAAAGAATGCCAATTACATGTTTTAAATATATTAAGCAAAGCGACTACGATAAATTATAATCGAATATATGAAATATATATTTACAATGTGTATTCCGTTGTTAACTTTAGAAGGTTTCTTCAATCGCCAAATGGGAATAATGTTATGTAGAATTTTTCGCTAACCCAATGAAAATTAATGACATTGAATATTTCCCAAAGTAAAATAACTGCAAAACTTTCGAAAAGAGGCTATGCATACGAATTATACCTTGATTCATCTTGTTCTATACGATGCGAATATCGTTCGTTTATACTCGTATATTCTTTTCTTATCGCGTCTCGCGATTGCACAGTAACGCAAGTCGGTGACGTTGCAGCTCTCAGTCTATTCGCGTGCGCGGTCAGTGCTTGTTGTCGGCCGTTCCTTGTGCACTCAACACAATGATACTCGTACATGGAGTTGTACTATTGCATTGATCATTGGCGGAACTCAATATTAATAAATTCGTGTGTGATATGTGGGTGTTATATTATGGATAGAGATTATACCTTTTCGTGTTCCCTTGGAGTGTCTGGCTTATACAATGCGCAGGTACTATTTCGGAAATTACATGGCGACACCTTAAAAATTCTTTGAACTCGATTGTTCTTTGCCGCTCCCGGAACTCAGGGCAGGACTGCCGAATCACTGCTCTCATAATCTGGTAATTTTTCATTTTTCTTAAAGCATGATGTGGAAATAGGGCATACGAGTATTTCGGGAACCGTTTACGCTATTTCGATAAACCTAGATATTTTGATAGCGCCAGACTTGTTATAAGCAATGCACTCTTGCCGTTTCTCGAAATCGGACGGGAACTACTTGAAAATTGCTTTTAAAATCTGCTAATGTTTCACTTTTCTTAAAACATATCGTGGAAATCTGATCACATTCACCGCTCCAAGAAATAATGTGGGAAGTGCATTAAAATCGCTCATAATATTGTACAATTTTGAACATTTTTCTAGTCTTGTTGTAGAAATTGAGTCATATCTGTGGAATCTTGTGGGTTATTTGCATGTTTTTTCAGATTCTGATAGGGAATCGTTAACCAAGAGGTTAATTAGACTCATCTCGGTGATGTGCGCGCTGCGCGCGTCTTTAAATACTATCCGATCTCGCGGCTTTCGCACACTGCGTCCCGACAGTCCGAAGACCAACAACACAAACTTACAAAAAGCGAATAATAAACAATCAAATATATGTGTACCGCTATGACAATGTAACAGTAAAGCGAAAGAAACGATCGGCGAGCTCTTTTCTTATAAAACGTCTTAAAGCACGCTGAAACTTAGACGTTCTTCAAGCATATAATATCTTAAAAGTTGTTTCAACTTTATGGCGGCGGAATTTTTTGTATGCTTAGAATTGTTTATCCTCATGTTAGAAAATTCGGAAATACCCTAAAATACCTTGTACTTAGTGAAAAAATTAACTTTCTTAGAGTTTCTTCATGTCAAAATAGAGTTAGATAGTTCATTTACACGATACATATCCTCCAACCTTCCAACCCTTCCGGAAGTGCACTAAAATGCCCTTCAAAACTGAACAATTTAAGGAAAATTTGAAAACGTGGTGTGGAAATCACCCTGTATCTTGTGAACTAGTTGATTTTCTTAAAATTTCTCCACACCATAATAGAGCTAGTGAGTTCTTCCACAAGATGCACACCCTCCAACCTCTCAGTCTTTTTGGAAGTTCCCTGTAAATCCCTTAAAAACTGCGCAATTTTAGGAAAATTTGAAAACATGGTGTGGAAAACACTTTGTATCTATTGAACTAAATGACTTTCTTAGAGTTTTTCTTTACAAGATGCAACCTCTTCGACTTCTCGGAAGTGCCCTAAAAAGCCCTTCAAAAATGAGCTATTTTAAAGAAATTTTAAAACATGGTGTGGAAAATTCTCTGTATCTTGTGAATTAAAAGACTTTCTTAGAGTTTTCTTACCCCAGAATAGAGCTAGAGAGTTCGTTTATTAGATGCATATCTTTAAACCTTTTAGTCCTTCCGGAAGTGCCCTAAAATGCCCATCAAAATTTGACAATTTTATAAAAAATTGAAAACATGAGGTGGAAAATGCCCTGTATCTCGTGAACTATTAGATTTTCTTGCAGTTTCTTAACGTCATGTTTAAGCTAGAGAGACCCTCTACACTTTGCATCCTTTTTTACTCTATAAACCCTTTGAAAGTGCCTTAAAACACCCTTCAAATATCATTTTCTTAAAATTTTTTTTGGTCGAAGAACAGGGCCGAACTTTTTTTAATAAATATTTTTCGGTCAAAGAACAGGGTCGAACTTTTTCTTAAAATTTTTCAGTCGAAGAACAGGGTCGAACCTTTTTCCTTAAAATTATTTCTGTCGAAGAACAGCGTCGAACTTTTTTTAATAATTTATTTTTGGTCAAAAAACAGGATCAAACTTTAGATACGAGTATTTCTTGAAAAACGACATACATTTCATCAAAAGTTTAAAGAAAAGATTATGTTATAAAAATGGCAAAAGATGTCTCTTTTTATGTCAAATGCAGGTTTCACTAAAGTTGTAAATAAAGTTGTAAACGGTTAATGCCCGAAACACGAGTACGGTGCTCCGAATGGGAGTCACTTTTACCGCTAGCCTAGATAATAAAATATATTAACTACGTGAAGTAAAAATTCAAAAATAATCGCTAAATGTGTAAAGGGGAGCGATTATCTCCGAAACTGCCTTTTAATATAGACTGCCTTCATTTCTGGATTTTAGGATATATTGTTTATACAAATAAGAAAGTACGTAATATCAAATCTTTTCATTGCAGTAGACTGTATCCACAACATGCATTGTACGTAGTTCTCCCTTCGATTCTTATCGGTGTTTGTGTACCTACAACCAACAACGCAGTGAGTCCGGCGCGCTCAGCACTGTTTGTGACATTTCTTACTTAGTCGATCGTGTGCTTCGACGTGGTGTGCACGCGTTTACTTGTGTGGTGGTCTCTTCGTGGCGACTAATTGCGTTTCTTGTGATTTTATGTCGGTAGTTTAATTAGAATCGGTCAGCAAAGATATAATTTAGAATTGGGTTTACAAGATACGCACGTGTTTACCGCCGACTTGCGGATATCTTCCGTCGGCCAAAAATGCTTAGTGGTTTTGTTTCATGTATTCATTTAATAGTTAATTTAAATCAAGATATTTAAATAATATTTTACCTGCGAAAACGTAAGATAGTGTGTAACATAAATACTATATTATCATATTGTATATAATTATGTCATATTATAGTTCGAGAGTTTACATTTTTTCAGCCTCCTAACCCCACCGGAAGTGAACACGTCTTTCCTTATGTCTTTTTCTTTTTAAACTTAGCATTTTTTTATATATTGAAATTTCCTTTTTGTAACACCCTGTGTTTTAATTTTCCGTGATTTCCAATCAAAAATTGACCAAATTTGATATATCAGGTGTTTGGCTACGTGAACTTTGAATTTTCTTTTTGTATCGTCCTGTATAATTTTCCCTTAACATTCAACTATAAACGGAAGAAGTTCCAGGTGATTTTCTTTTTAAAACATTTTTTTGATGCCACCCTGAAATTTTGTAATTTGTTATCATGTTTATGTGCTTGTTTTAAAACTGTCCGAAGAAACGCGTTTTTGAAGTTTGGAGCGCCTGCAGCTCTTAGTTTGGCATATTGCGATATACTTGATGGATCATCACTCGGTTTCTTTCGTTTTAAATGCGGGAGTGGAATGTTTTGAATCGCGATTTACTATCACTATTCTCTCAAGTCGTAACATTTTGCGTGAATGCAGCGAGAATACCTACAGGTAATTTATTATTTAAATTTCTGTAAACTTCCCAAACATGCAGCTTACCTTACCTAATTTTTTCTTATAAATTGCTTTTCATCACTTTGATTTTCTATTTAACTAGCTTATCTTATAGGAGAATTTGACGTAAATTAAGAATTTTCAATTGTCTCGCCATCGTATCATTTAGTTTACGAGATACTATATATATATATATAGGGATTTTGCACAGTCTCGAAGCTAGCGGTAAAAGTGACTGTGTTCAGGGCACCGTAGGGTGACGGTAGAAGTGACTCGGATTCAGGTAACGAGAGGGCTAGTGTAAAAGCGTGACTCTGGCTTAGAGTAATCTCTAGGGGGTGACGGTAGAAGTGACTCGTGTTCAGGACACCGTACCAGTAGTGGTAGAAGAATCCTCGATCCAGGGCACCACATAATGGTTGCAGCAATACTGCAACTGGAACGTGGAAGTACACCAA